GTTTGAGTGTGGCTCTTGTGCACACACACGCATGCACATGGCTATGCATCGATAAATAAACCTCCATCTGTGTCTCACAACACAGCTGGGCTGAGATGGCATGTCCCAGCACAACCCCCATAGCCCGGAGAAGTGGCTCTCTGTCATTCACTCGCACACTTAAGTACACACACACTCTCCATATATAAACTCAAACATCCTTTAGTCCAATTATTTTTACCTCTTGCTTTCTCTCACTGCAGTCGTCCTCTCTATCCTCCGACTACTTAATTCCCCTGCTCTGTCCCAGCTTCCGCCATGTTACCCCGGTCACACCTTTCAAGCTGAGTTACAGCCTGCAAGGACGAAAGAAGTGTGGCACTAGTACAATCACCTGAGGAGCTTCTCTCGACCATAGCCTTTATTTGTCAGGTCCATGCGCTGCAACAAAAAAAACTCCCGCCTGTCGCTTTGTTTACCATCCAACACACCAACAACAGCCCCAAAACTATAGACAACAATACACCCGAAGATTTGGTAAGGGCCCTTTTCCTCTGTGCTTCACAACATATGCCATTTGCCAGTCATAGCATAGCATAGTCATTTGCCGCCGGTGCAAAGAGACTGTTGGTGTTTCTGGGCAACATGTGCAGAGCCAGCACTCTCAGGGTGGGCGTAAAGGTCATCGAACAAGATGTCTCTAAGAATGTGTTGTGTCTAGACAAAAAGGAGTGCACTATAATATTGAGGGCTTATGGTAATGCCAGTCAATGAAGTTGATTTCCCAAGTCGACATACAAGCGAGTATTCTTCCTGACTGCTGAATGAAACGCACTGGACTCCAAACCTTTTCTGTCCTGACTCCTGACATTGCTCACAGATTATCACGGTTTACTTTTTCTTAAGCACACAAAGTATGTGAGATAATGATTTTTTTTTCAGGCCGATGCTTCACACTGACAAAACAGCAGCGGAAATGTCTAGCATCAGATCATCAGTTGTTAAAGGACACATATGCCATTTTCTAAACTATACTGGTCCCCTTTGTTGACAAAAGTTAGAATTGAAGATTAATGCCATTCTTATAACTGTACATTAAAGGTGGGGTAGGTAAGTTTGAGAAACCGGCTCGAGATACACTTTTTGTTATATTCCATGGAATGTTCTTAACATCCCGATAGCAATGAATATCTGAAGTGCTTTGACAAAAAATCCATTAAACAAATGGTCATCTGTGGAAGCCGTAGTACTGTAAACGGCCTGGCTAAAATAACTGGATGGCCTACCTGCCTGTCAGCCTTCCATCTGTGCACAAACTTATCTCGTGCCCTCATTGGTCATGTGTGCGTTCGTGTGTGTTGGAGGAGGGGCTCTGAAAGGAAGTAGCAGATTTCTTCCGGCTGCGTATTTTCAAATTCTAGCGCACTCGAGCTGGTTTCTCCAAAATTACCTACCCCACCTTTAAATACGAAGCCTCAGCTAGCAAAAGGTTAGCTTAGCTTAGCATAAAGACTTGAAATGTGCAGAAACAGCTAGCCTTTTTCTGTCCAGAGGTAACAAAAAATATCTACTGTATAAGCGTCTCTAAAGCTTAAAGATTAACAAGTTATAACGCCTTCTTTCTAAGTTAAATGTGGTTCATACAGACAAAAGGAGCAATACGTAGTGAACGTTAACAATTTAACTGCATACAAATAGTAAATTGCTGTGAAAAATCGAAGACGCGTTCATTCATACTGGACCAGATTATATTTAACGCCTACTTTCCAACAATTGTAAATATGTTTAGACCTTGAATACCCCAAACTAAAAAGCTTTTTGAGGGGACCTTGCAACTGTAAAAAAGGTGGGAGACGGTGGCTAAAATGTGCGGCCAAAAAAAGCATCTGCTACTGCCAGGGTTTAAAGACCTGAAGGATTCGATGAAGGAAGGGAAGGCACATGTAATAGGGCTGGCAGAGGGGACACACACCATTAGCCTAATGACAGAATGAGCAATGAGGAATAGGGAGATGAGATTCAAAAGCCAAGCATTGCAAAATGTGCCTTTAACAGGAATCAAGGCGAGTAATCTAATACATAGCGTGGCAAAGAAAGGCGGAGGGGGGGCTTGATGTTTTCTTCGCCTCAGGTAAAGTAAGAAGAAGAAGGGTAAACAGGAGAGAAAAGGATGGCAGTGTCATTAAGTTGGATAGCCGTGACCATCAGGAGCATTAATGCTGTCTACTTTGCTTTCTTCAAACCGGAACTCTTTGCTTTGAACTCCTTCTGTCTTCTTTGTGAGTGTACCTGACTCCGAGTTTCCACAGCTATTATGGACCCTGCATTGGTAATTACACATTTCACAATTTCTGATGTCACTTCAAAGCAACAACAGCCCCACCACCAAAGCACACACCATGCCTCTGCAGTACAAAGCCCAGCCTTAAGGATTACTGAAGCCACACATTGTTTTGCTGCCGGCCACTAATTCAATTAATGGCATATGGTTTTTAAGCTGACTTGAAAGAAATTATTCTCACACGGGACTGTCCCTTCATCACACATAAGGATTTCCATGTTTTGTTTTTAAAAAGGAAATAAACGGCAGCGAGTTTAATTAGAATTACTGTATGCACATCCTCTTGTTTCTCCGCCTCTTATTATATTACTTTTAGAGGATGTAAAGCAATTGAGGGGGAGTGATCTAAATGATGAGTCAGAGCAGAACTTTGGCAGTGTTCGTCCCAGAGTAAAGGGAGAGTGCACACTAAAGCAGAACATCCCCTTCAGGAAGAGAAACCAATGCAGTCATTTCAACTTCTATGCATGGCCTTAGGCAGCCAGAATTCATCTTAATTTGAACTATGAAGCTTGCCTCAAAATAGATGTACTCCCCAAACATGCATGAATGCCACTCTTGAAAAAAACACAAGTTCAGATCGCCCTGTCATAAAATAGATGTGCGCTACTGCTGACTAAGGTCTGACTCACACACATGGGGCTATTGATGACGGAGGAGATTTGAATGTCCACTAAATAATTGTGACAGTTTGCAGAAGAAACAACAACGCTGACAAACAAACATTTTAGGACACAAGAGGTCCTCAGTCACCAGAGTCAAAGACTCAAAGGCCTGGAAGTCAGCAGATAAGTGATATCTAATAAGCGTCATCTCTATTTTGTTCGCTACATTGGTAGAGACAATCTGAGGTGCTTATGGACTGTAGTGAGCGCAGCATGAGCTGTCTGTGGTGTGGAGCTCAGCTTGACGAGAGTCTCCTGGCACTACTTTAAAAAAAAGGCTTAGATCATACATTACAAAGATCTGTTTTGAAACCGTCTCTCTCAGAGTTTGTTGATTGTTTCACAATGAATAATTGGATTTTTTAGTATAGAACTTCTTCCTTTATAATGTAGAAGGTTAACATGCCGAACTAAGGAGAAATTTCACGCAGAGCAGATTATTAATATGCACATCAAAGCAAGAGAGAGGCTCTATCCTAACATTATAATACCATTTGACAATCGCTCTCCTATTTTTGCATCATTGAGCAATGCATTTCTTTTAAGCATTGGTTACTCTGCATCATTCACAGCTCACAGCGTTCTAGTATAAGAAGTTCAGGGCAGGTCTGAGACAGTGCTCTTGATGGAGATGGTAAGACGTGGCAGTGAGAAAAAGAAACGGGGCCACGGCTCCCACAGGAGCCACTTCTTCACACTGAAGCTCTGTCTGCCCCTGAATTTAATTAGATTCTGATATCAAGCCTTTTTTTACTATGCTTCCCTTCCTCTTCAACATGCGTGAAATTGCACTGCACTATCTATTATTTATTCACTCTCATTTGCTTATTGTTTCTTATGGATGCCTTCGTTAGGGCACTTGCAGCTCTGCTGCCTGTGATATGACGCTGTGCTTTATCTCTCTCGCTGCGCAGACCCACCTCCTCTGCAGGTCTGAGCCCAACTCATTTGCTGCCGATGGTTGGGGAGCTATGGATTTTTCCCCCCTTCCACCCAATGACAGCACTTTGAGATGCTATGAGGGCTGGGTGCTAATGAGCTGAGTCTGCAATGCTGGGGAGATGCTCTGTAACACAGGGGGAGTCAGAGGACGGGCAGGGGGAGATGCTCGGGCACATGGAGAGTCAGAGGGGCCATTATGACCGTGCCTCACATGGGTTAGAGAGACTCAATCGCACCAGTCAGTGTGTCTCTGAAGCCGGCCATTCAACACAGCCCAACTCATCTTTTTAAACGACATCACAAAATGGAATGCCCGACTATTTCTTCCCCTTTTGCCCATTTTAGGAAACTGCAGCCAATGGGGGACGTAACAAAAAGGGTTGTTTGTTGGATCAGACACTGCACCAGTTGCACAATGGGATAGAATATAAATAATAGCACACATGAAGAGGGAAACGTGTCATATAGCTACTGCACCAATGGAAATCCTCTCTTCTTGAATAGTCCAAAGTTTATGGTGAAAATAAAGATATTTATAAATCACAGTTATACAATCCACATCCAATTTTGCTCCAACTCCTCTGGTGCTGAGTCTTTACACAGGGTTCGTTTAATTGGCTGAATTCTCAAGGCCTGCATGTGTACACTAGGATGCCAAAGGAACTTATTTTACGGTGTGGAAATCATGGATTTGTATTACATCACCTCTGTACAACTCAACAGACACAAATGGAGTTAATGTGTGTTATCAGTCAAAGCTGCATTCTCTGTAAAATCAAATGTAAATTTATATTAAAAAAAAAGTATGTATTCACTTTGAGGTAAAAACCAGGAAAATAATATAGGATTAATAAGAAAATAACCTACTGTATATAAATCTGTAGGCTATTTGTACATTCCTGTCAGGCGTTAATACCCAGAGGGAAGTGAGATGAACTTGACTGCTCTGCCAGGATTGAGATGTAGCCTCTATAAAGTCCATGTATGACTTTGACATAAATAATGCTGCACGCTCTGCTGTGGACATAAGTGGGGGAAGAATCTGGACATGACTGAAATAGAAGCACACTTACACGCATGGGTGACTGCAAAGCTGTTGGACGACTCGAGGTTGTCGACATTGTAGAGGAGGTGGAAAGGCTTTTCAGTGGTGTTTTGGTTGGTGTTGTAGAGTTGGGCAGCAAACCTGAACGCGCTGTGCTCCTGCACCGTGGAACGCATGAACAGTCCCCCTTTAAAGAGATGGAAAACAAGATCAGAAAACGGATCTGTGTCTTTACAGTGTAATGTCAGTGTCGGACCACATTTTATTCAGCGAGCAAGAACTATATACGTCCCGCTGTAAAAGAAAGCAGGCTGCCTGGATATTTGAAAGAATAACTATCACGCATTTTTTACCAGTGCGCCTGTCTGTAACTCTTCAGATCGAGCGGGGCAACTGTCTCCCGTCTTCCTCCTTATATACACTTGTTTATTTTAGCCAGCGATTACAATGACACAGACAACAAAAGATTTAACCGACAGTTTCACAGAATCAGGCGCTTTAACAACGCAGCATACGTAAAATCAAGTTGTCTCTCATAACATTGCGCAGAGCTCCGCGCACATCTATCCGGTGTAAAATTGCAATCTTTATCAAGACAAAGCACATTGCAGCTTTTTCAACAAAGCAAAGACACTTACCGATACTAATCTGATTGGGAAAGCCTGCGTATGATCTGTCAAAGAGCCACAGTAGCAACAAAACCGCGCGTTGTGCCATTTTCTCCGACCTATCTGTTCAACTCCTTAAAAGGGTCTGTCTGAGCAAATTCATATGTTCTGGATGGAAGCCGGGCGCGATGGAAATCCAGTGGATAGATGATGGTCGCTCACAGTGCACCAATTAGGTTCATTGAGGTGCAGCCCAGCTGCAGAGCATTTTTTTGCAACTAAGAGAGGCAGAGAGAGCGAGAGGGAGACCGAGAGAGGAGGGGTGGGCTAGTGGGGGGAGAATGAGCTGATCTGAACTCCGATTGGACCCTTCGCGGCGGGCCAATGTTGGTCAAACTTGATCTGACTTTAAATTAAAAAGCCTCAGCCCGCTAGATTACGACGGCTTGGAATAAGCGCTGCACTTGTCAATATTAGCCTTCTGTCGGCCGAATCAATAGAAACACTGCAATCTCAGGTGGCCAATGACTCTGAGCTGCCCGGCCACTGCCAGCTGCTGCATATCTCCACGATCTGCGAGGGAATATGCAGAGCTGCGGTTATTGCCACAGTGGGAAAGTTTATGTGCTGGCTTCTCAATTCATTTTGCAATCTTACCCTATCCGTTTTTATCTACATGTTTTAGGTTAGAGAGAGGTACTGTATAACAATACATGATTCTAAGAGATAAACTCAATGCCTGCTAACACACGTGTGAGAGGGGGAAGGGACATATAGCCAACAGAGCTGTCTGTGGTCCTGAAAATAATAATGAAAAGCTGAAAGTGACTAGACAAAATAAACCTGCTGTCTTATTTCGATTCTACCTCATTGGAAATACATCAAACCTTCTTTAAATGATTGACCATCATCAACCAACTGATATCTCTCATTCTTATTTTATTTACTTTCAGTTTCACCCTGTCTCTAATGAGACATCTATCATTCCTGTGATTCTGCCAGAGAGAACAATTAAAGGATTACTGGCCCGTTTATCACCCTCAGCAAAGGGCTTTGAAAATTGAGTTTTTAAAATTGCACTGCAAATGGCTAAGGCTTCAGCTATTGATACTGCCACGCACTTAGTTCGCTTTAACACATGACTTCTGTGTGTCCTGTTTAAACTGTGTAGCAAAACGGTGTGAAACCTGGTCCGAAAGAAAAAGTGTGATGTGTTTAAGAGAACCAAAAATAGGTTTCAGATCTGATGATGAGTTGCATCAATTTTGACATTTACATCAATAACACAAGTGGGACCTGTGAAAGTGTGCTGTTAATAATTGATGCCAATCAAGTAATGATATGGCTTGACCCCGCTATCCTTTCCATACAGGGTCAAATGTAGCTCTGTTCCCACGGCTGCCTGGCTCTCTAGGGGTGAATCTTGGATGACATCCCATTGATTCTCTGCTCTCCCTGCCTTCCTGTCAGCGTAGGAGGACGCTTGTTACCTGACCTTAATGCCTGAAGTCATAATGACCAATGCTAAACTGTGAAGCACTGCTATATCCACAAACTCATAATCACATTACACCTGCATCACATACAAGCAATGGTTGTTTTAGTGGATAATCAGAGGCCACCTGTGATATTGTTTTTGCTAAGTTGTATCGGAGAATTAACTGGCAGCATACCAAAAGAGCTATTTAATTGGTCCTTTACAGTGCATGCTGCTACTCAGTGTGAATAGAGCTAATCATGCTTTATTTCAAACAAAACCGGTAAAGAAAAAACATTATTCGCTGCAAGGGGAGCCAGAGTGTTTCAGATAAGGCCTCGATATAATTGATATTAAATGGTGATGATTGCGCTGCATTATTTGCAATTAGGACATTTTGGCCATGCGGCGTAATCCTCAAAGCTCTTCCGTTGCAGGAATTCAATTTTGTCACAAGTGTAGAAAATCACAGATAGGATCTATATGAAAACAAATAATTATATGATATGCCTTCCAGGGTTTTGAAAACACTCACAGGAGAAAACATGCCACACTCGCACTCGAGCAGGCATAGCGAAAAGGACTGAAAAATAGATGAAAAGATGTTGCCTTTTATCTCATGATGATGATGATGATGATGATGATGATTCACAGGCTATAGCTTTGAGCACCGGAAGAGTCACCGGCAAGAATTATTCATTTGCTCCCTGCCTTCTCTTCCTAACACAACAGGATAAAACCTTCCCATTTGCCTCGTTGAGGTTACATGAGCAAACAGGTTAGAAAGTATATCATTTATTTTAAAGAAAATGACATTATCGGTCTCTATTGGGTCTATTGGCTACAGAGTGTTAGTATTTTTAGGTTTGACTGCTCATGGTTACAAGATGTCTTGGTCATATGAAAAAAAACAACAACCATGAGTTTTGCTTTCTTCCTTTGATTTGGATCAACTTTAAAATGGTTTCCCCAGAATTGCATTCAAATCAGGCCAGATGTCTTTTTTTGTATTCTTGCTGACTGACAAACACAAAGACAAACTAGGCGAAACATAACTTCCTGGCGGAGGTAATAATAATAATTATCCTTAGTGGCTCAACGAGGGGAAAGTTGTCCAATATTATTCAAGAAAAAAAGGCTTTATCTTTTTTACTCATTCCTTGAAATGTATTTTGACTTCAGATTTCTCTTGGGAGCTTGTGTTCTTAAAGAAATCATTGTGCATAACAAATGCAAAAGCCATACAATTATGTTTTTGTTTAACAATACTGTAGAATGAATCGTTGAAAGTCCTTCACTTCCTTGAAATGTCATAAAAGTACATCTCAAGCCTGAATTGGACCATCATTATGTACAGAGGCATCAATTGAAATTGAACATTACAGTGTTGTGAATCTAAAGGAATATATAGGCCATATTACTGCTAAGATGTAACATCGGTTGGCACATGGGTGTTGCAGATTGAAAACCCTCGCCCACCACTGCAGCGTTCAGTTCTAATCCGTGGCTCCAGTGTTTCCAGCTCCATGAAACCCAACTGGCAGCATTCCTCGTAGCCGCGCTGTTGACTCCTACTGGTCGGCGGTGACGTCTTTGTGGAATTTGCTTTGCGATCTGCAGGCTTTTCTTTGAACCTCTGCATGCGCTGCACCCTCCTGGTGGAGCTCCTCGTTGTCAGGAGAAAGAAGCAGCTGGTGACTCCATGAGTATCGGAGGAAGCACATGGTCTTCCAAACCCTCCCTCCTATACTCCCTAGGAGAGCAGCCGGCATTACCGCAGCAGGTTCTGCAGCGCATGGGGACTCGGCCTTATAAATACAAATAAAAACATCAGCAGATGAATAGGACTGCAGGTGCGACTGAGCCAAAAGTTGATGTTGCATAAGTTGACCGTGAAAAACATAGAGCAGGTGTGTTCAAACTACGGCCCAGGGGCCAAATGCGGCCCGTGGACCATTTTGAATCGGCCCTCAGCAAATAAAAAAAGTATAATGACTTAAGTATAATAAACTTCTGTACTTCTTAAATATATTATGTTCAAATGTATTACACAGTATTAACGTGTTAATAGGCCCAATTTTCAAATAAATGCAGTCAATTCAAGTTGAAAACATGTTCTCACAAATCTAAATTGATAAGAAAAAAGCCCAATAACACATTTACATAGCAACCTTGAAATACACCCTTCATATTTCCCCTTATTATAAGCAATCTGAAGCTTCTGTTTTAAGGAATGAGCTGCCAGCACAATAAATGAACCCCTCTTGAGAGCTGTGAGCGTTTTTTTTCTTAAAGCATACATTGGATTGACTTTTCCTTATAACAGAACTTATGAGGTAATAAACCTCGAGTCAGTGGCCCTGCCCTTCGTATATGTTTCTGTATGTGGCCCTCGGTGAAAAAAATGTGGACGCCTCTGACATAGAGGCTTAGACAAAACCACATTCTAATTCACTATTTTATCTAAGATAATATTAGTTTATGTGACGATTCATCCATGATCACAAGAAAGACAAAGACAGTTGTGTAGAGATAAGAAAATACTTATTGTGATCAAGAGAAACATTAACAAAAGTGATTGGTTCATCCCACAACTCATAATGGTGTGAGACAAGAACAAACCTCTCGTCTCAGAGCCTCTTTATGTAAGGTCACAGGCTTGGCATCCAGTGACTTGCAGATTCAGATCCAGGTGTTTGAATACATTCTTAAATCAGCTGCAGATTACCTCAGAGCTTTAATATAATGGGCTGCCGTGCATCAAGGCTTTACGTTTCCAATCTACACTGATTACTTTAATTTAGCAAGAATCATTTTCAAAAAGAGTGCAATCAGGAGAAATTCGTTTTTTATGTGAAAGCCTTACAAAACAGCCTGTGAATGTAATATTTATCTGTATGAGCAGGACTGGTCCCATGATCATATTGTTGGTGCCTTTGCTCACATATGACGCAACTTTCAAGTCTCTCTTTTTCCTACAACTCAGTGCACAGGCACATCACTCCTACCCTGCTGGGAAACTGAATTCAGCAATCATAGGAATGGGTTCCTTTGGTGAGATGCACATAATGAGAGGGGGTGAATTAGTATTGTAGAAAATATGCAGTTAAACAAGCATTATGCAGCTCAAACTCAATGATATTTGGAGAGCTATTCCGAGAGCCCATCAGTCTTGGCCAGATGTTGGAGACTGATAAGAGACTCCGCTCTCAAGGAGCTCTTCTTTATTCTGTCAGTGCCTCTTCCAATGAAAGAGACTTCGAGAAGGCAGTGGCCTAAGCAGATAGAGAGGCTCCTGCCATTGTGGGGTGTCACGTAGATGTAAAGAAACAAGAAATCTAGGAGAATAAAACATTCTGTGAGTACACTGTTCCATGTGGAAATCACATTTGGTTAACAAAGTGTAAAAAAGGAAACATGTCCAGTGGGATAAAGCTCAGCGTATGTCAAGAGGCGGAACATTCTGATGGGAAAAGACGTGTGGGGGGGAATCGCGGGGAGCTCGCCATGAGGAAAATGGAAACGCATCATGTGGCATCAGATAAATGACGTGACATAGTTCAAGGGATGATGGAAAAAGTGGCTACCCCAGTTCCACTATTTGAATGCCAGTGCGTGCTGCGCCACAAAACCATCCCGCGCTTTGGCTCCCCAGCAAACAGTCTTTGGCCTGAGTGTGACAGCGGCAGTGTTATCAGCTGCACAGGCTGACACACTTCACTCTGCTGCCTCTGGCTCTGCACAGTCAGAAGCATGCGACCGCAGCAGTCAGCGCAGCGTGGCAGGAAGACATCTTCACCACATGAGCTTTAAGCTACATGGAAGAGGCCGTCTGCACGCAGAAGGGTACCTCACACTAACGTTTGTACACTTATGTACTACACAACATCGTTCATGCACATGTGCACGAGAGGTGGGTAACAGGGCATTTCTGGTTAATCATGATATCAGTGCATTTGTGAGGGCGGTCAGGAGCTTATTCATGCTCTATTGCTTAAATAATTAAAGTCCATGACACAATGAGAGTGGAAACAGAAACAAAAAAAGAAACTAATGTGATAATGTATTTGACATTGAGGTAATTTAATAAGCCCAATGGCAAAATAACGCTTATTTAAATTTAAAAAAATGTGTTTAAAGTGGACCTATCATGCTATATTTGAATAATATAGTGTAGGACCATACCGACATAAGGCATATTTATACTTTTTATTTTTCAAAATACCAAACAGATCATGCATTTTAGCCATTCCTCATTTCGCTCAATTTAAAACTGTCTTTTCATGGGCTGATTCTGTGAGAACAGCACCATCTACAGGCCTGGCATATGTAGTACAGCGTCTCCAGCGCTTTCGAACGGCAATGTCCGTGGCTGTCTCCTCCTGATTGGTGGAGTTGGCCCAATAGCCGTAGCGCCACTTCTGTGACGTCATAGAAGTGTTCAAATCTGGATCAGTGTGTATCAGATCCGTTGCAGCCCCTTTTTTAGAGATTTGGAGGAAAATAGAGAGGGTTGTGTTTTCTGACACCTGGTGAGTTCCCTGGAACACCGGGGACACACATTCATGTATAAAAGACGTACAAAAGTGCATTTTGCATGATAGGTCACCTTTAAGTCATAACAAGTTGTTTCCTTTACAAGGGTGGCTGGCTCCAGAATTTAGAGCAGAGGCCCTATCTTAACACAGCTGTCGTTACGGCAACAAAATAAATAAGCATGGATCACCTAGTAATTTTGAAGCTGTATTTCATACAAATAAAAACACAAACATTCCATTTAAGTTGTTGCATTCAAAATGATTTACTATTAGAAAACCTCTGCCCAGATCAGTTAATCAAAACAATCAAAACAACATTGTTTGGATGTTTTCTCACCAAAGTGGTTTTGCAGCAATTCAAGAAGATTGGAGAGTGAGACTTAGTCTTGCAGGAGCTGTCATGATACATAAACCATATCTCCAACCACTCATTCTCCCCTTGTGGTGGCTTGTTGGGGTTCTGGGTTACTTTATTTATAAAATAAATGCATTCAGGACAAAAACACAGGTAAGCCCCCCATTCACAAATGCAGTCTTACAAAGCGAAGATCTATCTATCGAAGTATTTAAGCCCCTTTATCTAAACGGATTTTGAAACAATATTTAAAAAAAAAATCTACTTATCAATGGTTACTTGGGTTTCCTACTCCCCTCCCCTCTCTCTTATTTTCATCACACTGATTTGTTGTCCTGTGACACGGTTTTAAAACTGACTTTATTTCAAATGATCTTGGTTGTTGATCTAAACTGGGACAGGCAGTCATGTGAAACCGAGGTGCTGATTTCTAATCGAAAACAACTTGTGGCAACTCACTATGTTACATTATTAACACTTCATGAGTCATAAGAAGACTGTTATGTATTCCTCGAAAAGGAAGTCTTGCTTTAAATAGAGTGCTTTGCTGAATGTGCTCTACCTCTATGATAATAGTAACATCAGTGACATCCTTCCTGTCATAACCTGCCATTATTTTTGTTCCTTTTCTGAAGTTAATCCAGCGCTAAGATTTTAAGGCAGAAAAGCTTAGTGTCAACAAAACCTAACCACTTCAAGTGTTTGGGCAAGTATCACTAGTACCATGAGCTTACTCAGTCTACACTGACTTGTCTCTGCAACAATACAATATAGTACCTATTATAATTCCCCCCCACACATGCAGTAAAACACAAAGAGCACGATCATGTGTTTCAAAGAAAAACCTTTATTTCATTGTGCATTACAATATAATGTTTTGTGACTTCATGGCTATTTAGCATCATCTCTCTCACAGGAAGGCTTGTCTTTATGCTGGCCCTCAGAGGACGCTTGGATCCTTATTTTTTGGTGAAGTGTCCGTGGCACATCACAGTGAGGCAGGTGACCATGTGGATAAACTCCTTGAAGTCCACACTGTTGTCCTTGTTTGTGTCCAGGCCTTCGAAGAGGCGGTCCACAGCTGCCTTGTCAGTGGCTTTCTGCAGGTGATAAAGTGTTGTAACTGGGCATTAGAAGCATTACAGACTGTTGTGATGGACAAATGCATGCATCCTATTGGTTGAGCAGAACTGAGATAGAGAGATGTCAGAGGTCACTTACCCCCAGCAGATCTCCAAATTCATTGTGAAGCAGCTCCTTCAGCTCTGCCTTACTCAGGGTGTTATTGTCCCCTTCCCTGCCAGCGTACTTACTGAAAGAGCCAATGAGGAGGGCCATAGCATTCTGGACGTCAGACATGATGATAGCTGATTTAAAAGGACACAAAGAATGAAGAGTTAAAAAGTCACATTATGTAATCCTGTGTTGGTTGCATGGTATTATTATCATGGGTGCAGGACCGATTGGCTTAGTGTTTAGCTCATAAAGCTTCACACAACAAACTGAAGTCTTCTTATGCTCTCATTTAGTGCTGCTGTGTCTCCATCTAGAGGCGGAGTCTGTTCACTTTTACTGACGCACACTGTAATGGATCATGTGGCATTGTGGTCAAATTCGGAATGTTAGCAAAGAACATCATTTACATCCACAACAAGAGGGGCTGGTTCCAGGGGAGAGAAAGACACTGATTTCATAGAAATAGAACAGGAACGCTTTTATGATCATTGTACATAATACATACAATTAGGAAGTGTCACTCAAGTTAAGTGAAGGTGAGAATCACAGAATAAAAACAAGTAAAGTATTCACTGTTGATATGAACAAGTTTCAAAATAGTTAACAAAATACAATGAAATATTGCACGATAATAAGAGAAAATTGTGCAAATGGAGGTGATCTACTTTTTTCACTAACTTAATTATGATAATTATTTTGCCTGTAATAGCTGTTTTTTCTCCTCCTGCTACAGTTCATGGCTGTATTTTTCAATATCCTGTAATTATAGAGACTAGTGTACACAAAGGAATGCAGTATAATTGTATTCATTTTTGAGTTCTGGAGCAGCAGACAGTGGCTGAGTGCTTTTGTTTCTTCTGCCAGTGTTGTTCTCTGGGTTTTCCATTGAGCTGGGTAAAAATAAACCCCAGCCACTTTTATTTCTACGCCACAGGACTCTAAAGCACGGTCTCTGCAGAGTCAGATATTGTTATGGCAACAGTTTAATCTCTATAGGTAACTCAGCTGAACTAGGTACAGAAACAGGTCAATACTTGATTAAAAGTCCCAGTAGTGATGTGTGATGCCTGTTCCCACAAAGCTGTATGTCTAAAAAGGTTTTTTCTTTCCAAAGACTCCATGAACCCCAGAGAGTCGGTTCTGGTTGTAATGTGACTCACATGACGCTGCTCCCTCTCTGGGGTGTGGTAAACGGAAACTGTGGCAGCAGAGGGTTTGTAAACAGATGGGGATTCAGGAGAAGTACAGCACAAAACAAATATCATATTACTGTTCCAATCTTTGATTTAGTTTGGATTGGAAGCAGGACGTCGATGCTAAATTCTGAATCGACAATGCCTCCGTAAAAAGCACATTCCAGACTAAAGTTAAACAGATAACTGGCACCGGAGCAACAGGAGAAATGTCCGTTGCAACGTTTGTTTCACAAGTAACTATGGTTTGCACTAAAACACATTAAAACAAAAAGATAACTCCGGAAACCCAGTAACTTTGAAGTTAGAAATGAAAAACACTGATGTTTTTGAACAAATGTGTTTGTGCATTCCTTTTGAATGAAGTGAATGAAATCAAACATAAAAAAACAAACATTGTTTAGATATTTTACTCACCAGAGTGGATTTGCAGAGATTTAAGAAGATCGGAGAGTGAGAGTCAGTCTTGGAGGATCTATAGTAATGGAGAAATACATGCAAAGGATGTTTTATACACCACCACACCCTTTATCCCTCCCCCCATAATGCTCCTTTCATCTCCAACCGCTCATTCTACTCCCCTTGTGGGGCATTAGGGTCCGAGCATGACAACTGTGGGAGGACCCTATTCACTTTGGGAATTATTATTGCGCAAACAAACCACAACCTTATGCAATGGTTTGATTTATAGGCATTTTATTTTACTTTAATAATAAATAAATACAACTTTATATCTGTATAAGTATCTGATAGTGCAGCATGCACATGGAAGTCTTGCAAAATGTTCAGGGGGGGTTGCAGTTATCTGACATTGTGGTATGACCTTAGAAGAAGTATGACTAGCTAAGTACCATCTGAAAACCTGAAAGATGCAAAGTTATTTAAATATTTTGTTTTCATTGAATGCACTTTCTGTGGCATGAGGGCCATTTTGCACAATTTGAAAATAAACAGGAAATTGATCTACCCAAAATGTAAACAGTCCAATCAGCACCAACCCTCCCTTGCATGATAAGGTTTCAGGCTTGAGGACTTTTACAAGTCAATATTGACTTGAAGTCATAGCGCCACTTATGGAAAGCAGGAGATCAGTTTTATGTGACAAACATCATCCAAATTACATGAAAATCACATTGTGTCATTTCCTTAGTTACTCTTCAAGAAACACTGGATTTATTATTGTTGCTAGAAAAATATCTGATTATACCATTTTTTAACAGTTGAATAACTATATTTAGCATTTTGAATCGTCATTCCTGTTTGCATTAAGGAGGACTTTTTAAAATGCTAGAAATGTGCAAAATGTATCACAAGAATCTTGTGATGTTATGATCTAGTTAGTTATAATCATATTAAGTCTGTTAAAAACACGTAGAAGTATAGCGGGGTGTGCTCTTAGTTTTAGAAAACAACATTTTTGTCATACTTGTTACTGCAACAGTATAATTTAAGACTTAAAAAAGTCTAAGTCTTAAAAGAAATTCTCCACTTGCTCTTGGATGGAATGCAAAATAGGAGTTTGGGATTTCATGTTAACTGTTTGTTCACTTGTTTAACCCAGATCATTTTCTTTGCATTTCACTTGTTCATTGATGACATTTTGCAAGCTGATGAACACAGCAATTACTATGTAAACTGAATCACTTTTTGTAATGATGCAGTACACAGCTACTCCATTTAGATTTAACTTTTGTCTAAAAGAGAATCCCCGATTTGAGTACAACACTTTAGCCTCAGACCCTACAAAAACAACTCTCTTAAGACTTGAGACAAAACACTGGGGCTGTGAGTAATTATTTTGTTCTTCTAAAAAAATAACTAAAGTAATATCCATTTTTTGCATGTGCATGATAAATTATAAATCCACCCTTTTGTTTGAGTGTACTGTTTGTCCTATTGTATGATTGTTTTGAGTTAAAACTGTTTTTTTTCTTCTTTTGCCCAACCAGGTATCAAATAACACTTTTAATTGTAACTGTTCCACTTTTTCATTCTTTATATATAATGACTTTTTCTATTTTTATTCAATTGTTTGAGATGTGCATGATTAAAAAATGAAACTTTTGGGCCCAGTGACTCACTGAGGGCCGATGTTATGGTCTTTCGGAGTTGGTCCTCCCTTTCTTGCAATTTTGTGGTGGAAGCTGTGACTCACAGTCATGTCCCTGAAGCTCATGAGTCACGCTGCAGAGACCAGAAATCAGAGACATACAATCTGCACGGTGGCAACTCTCTGTGCTTGTGCTTTTCAATGTGTGTGTGGTCTGTTGCATGACTTTGAGTTAGAGATATCAAAGGTATTTCCTGCTGTCTGTCCTCTTTGGAAAGGCTGCAATTGTTTTGGTCTCTAATTAACAACTTCAGTCAAAGTCCAGCAGGCATACAGATCATAGGATAGAAATCAAGTCACTGTCGCCACCTCTCATTTACCAAAATCTGAGATTCGTATGCACTTTCCTTTTAGCTTTGCAGAAAACTCCCCTCAAACATTTTTCTCTGTTTTTTTCCATACCCAAGTCTGCCAAACAGTGAGGGAGTACCCATGGAAACCACATCCTGTTTTAATTCCTGCTGTGAGTCATATGAAACTATTTGCAGTACAGCAAATACTCATGGCCAACATTATGATTACACTCTTGTGCCATCTAGTGGTCAAGCAGATGAACACTGACGAGAGCGTTTATTTTCCTTGCAGCCATGTTACTTAAAAACAGATGTCCCAACTGGACCTAAAACGCCCTTACCAGCAGTACCCTTAACTAACATCCAATGTTAGTAGTCACAAATCTCCACAATAAACCCCACCCCACCCTCTGAAATAGTTGCCCAGACACAAAAAATTAGGTTGCGAAGGAGGTAGAATCTGGATTTTGGTGGCATTTTAAGCCTTTTTTAGAATGACAAAGTAGAAAGATGATGGAAAGTAATGCAAAGAAAAAAGGTGTGTGTCAAGAAACAAAAGTTCCTATAGTAGTGGCTCACATTTAAGTGACAGGAAACAAAACACAGACACAAAGTACATCATCTTTTTTATATTTCAGCATGAGCACAATAGTTTGAAGTAATTTCCCTCTGCAGCAGCTTCAACCCGGATGTTGGAAGGGTTGGGTGCGTTCAGAACAACATTGCTTTTATTGTTTGGCAGATTGAATTGTCCACAGAGAGGGGCTGTTCTGCCTCTGTGTGTGTCCAAGGAAGGTGAAGTATGCATTAGTGAATGTTTGCTAATCTCCAAAGTGACACCAATACACACCTTCACTGTGTACAAGTTGAGAAAAAGTCAGGCTGGATGAGAGTTATTCCAAACTGATGAACGTTGTTAGCAAAGGTATTTCTCATTGCAAGGGGAAAAAGCTTGGGGCAGTGACCTCATAGATCCAGAGTTATTCATCTTCACAAATGATTGTTTTGTTTAAGGTCATTTGATGAACGTATGGCATGTGTTTATCTATCATTGCATTCAGTAAACCTCAAGCTCAACTAAACAAAGGGATATTGAGAAAACAGACAGCAGAGTGGGAAGTCCCTGCTGTAAACTCAGTTGTGGGTCACATGGGTGTGATGCTTTTGTAGACCAAGGGGTAAAGACACACACACACGCACGCGCAGGCACGCGCGCGCGCACACACACACACACACACACACACACACACACACACACACACACACACACACACACAGCATGGTAACCTAGCAACGTTGGTATTTGTTCTGTAACCATGCACACTGGAAGGCCACAGATAGCTCTGCCCAAGGAGGTGTGGTTAGGGCTTTTAAGCATTTTTCCCCCTGATTTTTGACTTCGAGGCAGATCTGACCTATGTTGCTTTTAAGAACGTTTTTATTATTGTACTCTTTTATCTCACCATTTGTATGTCTTTGTATCTGTTATCTTTGTGTTCACATTTGTACCTTTCCTTGCTTTTCTTGGCCTTTCTCTCTACTATACTACTCAGTATAGTACTCAGGCTGTTCAAGTTCTTCCCAGTTAACTGGGATCGTCCAACCCTGACCTCAACCGTGGGCCAAACCCTTATTTACAGGAGACATATCTTTCTAACATTTATGACTAACGTGTTAGTAAGAGCTTTTCAGTGCCAGCAGCATAGCCTGAGCAGAAGTGCTGCCTGAGAGACTTTATTTAAGCAAAAAAAGCCTCTTTTCAGTTCAGAAATTGAGTCAGAAGGAGTGTTATTCTGATCATCTCTCTGGTGTTATCCAAATTTCACCAGACTTTCTTTCTTTCTTTCTTCTTTCTTTCGAACAGATTAAAAAAAATGTAAAAAAATGTGAAAAACAGAATACCGCATTGTTAAAATACAGTATCCATCCACATTCATGGTAATATCTGTATATTCAACAAAAAAAACAAAAAAGTCTTCATATTAATAATAATAATAAATCATATGTGTCCGAAAGGGAGTAGGAGGAAGCAAATGCTTATTAATTCCCACCCCTTACTTTATCAATGATTGTCCTTTAAAATCACTATGCAAGTTATTCCTACATACATTTACATTTATACATACATATACAATAATTTCTCATCTTCAATCACCTCTCTTCATTCTCATAGTTTTTCAAAAAAGTGTTTCTGTACATCCTTTTAAACTGAATTATGCTTGTGCTTTGTTTGAACTCCTGCTGAAACAGAGGGGATTATGGGTAATGCTGCAATGATCTGTTTTGGTGTTTCAGCCAATCAGAGACAGGCTCTGTATATATCTGAGACCTATATTATATTGATGAAAAACAGAATAATTGGGGACCGTTAAAAGCAAAAAGGGCCCTAACACTGTTTCTTGCT